GCTCCTTCATCCCCTCTGGAGATTTCTCTTTGATCTGAGTTAAAATGGCGAGAATCCATGCTGCCATGGCACGTGGATCGTTGCTCATTTTGCTATCAATCAGCTGCTGCGCCACAGTACTTCGATCCGGGATGCCCGATCTTGAGAAAGGACACGTACACTACGTGGAAGCCCTTCTCTTATGGTTCTTGACTTTCCCCACCCAGAGCTCTGCAGCACCATCGTCCATGCCGGAAGCTGCCCCATATCGTTGTGCCACTCGTCAAACAAGCCATTGATAACCTCTTTAACGTAGTCCAACACTTTGCAAGGATCCTGGTGTAAGGGCGATCCCAGGCCACCTGTAGCGCCTCCTTGACACTTTGTGCATAGTCAACCTTTGGATGTACTGTGGTTGGAGATGCATACTCAAGCACGGCCGAGAGAGGCCTTGACGAGTCCCCGGCAGTTTGAATCGCTGTGAGCATCCATTCCTGATCGGCTATCAACAAGAATCCAAGCAGATCGATTGCAAGACGTTTTATGAGGATCATCCCAAGGGAAGACAGTGGTGATGGTCATGTGAAGTGGTTATCTCAAGATTTTGGCAGTGACGGACCAAACGGGGGCATACCCTGGGTCAGTTCCTCAAGAGCGTCGTGCCAGCTTGCAGGAAGTGCTGCGTGAGAGAGGCATGAGATAGGCAGCTAAGTTGCATACATACCACAAACATACACGTCGTGTGAGGGCCCAAGAGTGCCGTCGCCATGCTCCTCTCAGCTCCTCCGCCGAGACAGTGTTGGGTATCGGCGCCGGTCACAAGGTTGATCGAACCGCAAGATTTGCACCGCCAAACTCCCATTGCCGCCGTCCCCATTGCCACCGGAGTCCGCCATCGCCGTGTGCTGCCCGGTGTCGCGGCCAAACCCTAGTTCTGTGACTTCCCTGCTCGTTTCTCCAGCTACCTTAAACTCAGTGGGGAGGTGCACGAGTCCAAGCCGGGTCCAGGACAGGACTGGGATGGTGTGAAGCTAACTCACGTATGTGAGGATGTACCATAGTGACACGTGGCGAGCCAGATGCGTTGGAGCTTATATTGGGGAAGGCAGCTGCGTACATACTAGACAACAAAGATCAGTTGAATGCGGTGCTGGAGGTGGCGCAGCGGGTTTGCAGATGCGTATGCTGTGGAGGGGCAATAGTTGGGCGAACTGTGCTGCTTCTGGCAGTACATGCCTATTGCAAGCACGTGTCAATAAGTTTACTCACCTCGTCAAGCTCGGGGACTTTGCGACCAAGCTGTGGGAAACCACTGGAAGTAAAAGTCTGCTTCAACCGCTTCATTCTCCTCAACAGAAAGCAGATCACGAAGGAGGACTTGCTCTTATGCTTTCTGGGCAGAGTGGCAATCATACTGCAATGGAACCAGGATGCTTACAATGCATTGCCTCCAGTGCTGATAGGGCCGGATGGGACATATGAGCTTCACATGACAGAATGCAAGCCCTGCCAGTTCAGATTCAAAACAGAGACACCTACTCCGTGAACACTCAGAAGTTTGCCATGGCTGCATTGAAGTATTCTCTCGCTTTTAATCACCATTCCTATTTGTTTTCATTGCAGGTGGGATGACAAAGCTCAGAAGCCAGCTCCAGCCAGGCTCCAGTTCCATTGAGGAGCCAGCTCCAGCCAGATTCCGATTTCAGGAGCCAGCTCCAGCCAGGCCACCCCCTGCCAAGTTCCACAGGTCCTCCCTGAAGCTGACAAGAGACTGCTCCAACACATGGACGTGGATCTGGACAAAGAACCCCAGCGTCCTGTGCGTAGCTGCACGAAAATCAAACAGCAGGATCTGCATGGTGAAGATGGTGATGACGTCGAAGACAAAGATGGTGATGACAAACTCAAGGATCCAACATATAGAAATATAGACTATGGCAGTGATGTGAATGAAAGTGATCAGGAGGGGAGTCCTATTGCTATCTACATGCACTTGAGAAGATGCATGATTTTATACCAATTTGCATATTTGTTTCTCGGGGTAAGTGGATATAAAAATGTTATGATAAGCATGTTCTTCAGGGTAAGTGGATACAAGAGTGTTTCAATGAGCTTATTTTCTAATTTTTGTGCAGGAAAAGGTTTTTAATGCTCTTATACAATTGTTTTAAAATGGAACATCATTTAGTGGGGGAATATAATAAGGCATAACTTATTCAATTCCAAAGAAAAGGTAAAGAAGCTTTAGTGCAATTTGAGAGATGTTGCATTCCCAAGTTAATCACTGAAATTGTCTTTGCATTATGAGCTAAAAATTGCTTTCTATAATACCTTTCTGTTTATGTTTGTCTTATTTTTACATGGAAAGGGCAAAATGCAGCAAAAAATAACAGGAATTCTTGTTTTTGCAAGAGATTGGCAGCAGGGACAGCATGAGTAAATAAAGCTTCTTTTCCACTTTTCATTCTTCCAGGCATCCTCTAACAACACGAGCAGATGGTACAAGAGCTTGAACAAGCAAAGGTAGTCCTTTTTAATGAGTATTATCTTTTGGCCATGTCAAAGCAAAGCCTAGTAAACATTGTATTCTATGACTCAGTCGCTTAAGTTTTTTCTGCACCTTGGATGAGAAGGAGCAGGCTTTAAGGATAAAGAAGGCTGACTTTGAGAAAGAGATCTTCGTGCTTCGTTTGGTGAGAAAAAGGTGCAGATTCAAGAGGAGAATTAGAGGCTTGATGTGATCGAGAAGGAGCAGGAAGCTCTTCTCAATGTTCAACTGATTGAAAGAGGTATAGGTGATTTCCGGGAACGTCAACAAGACTTAATGACAGAATCCGACGAGTTTAGGAACGAGAAGGAGAAGGTGGAGGCTCAGTGACAGGGAAATTGAATGGGGATCTTGTCTAGGCTCAAAAGGGAAACGGAAGAGCTGATCCGTAATGTTGATCTGCAGCACGTAACAGAACATGGCCAAGAAAGTGGAGGTGGAGAAGCAAGCAGAGGAGCAGGAATACACATGAATTACAAGTCTAGATGGAGAAGCTGGAGGAGTAACAAAGAAGCTTTGTGGGCAGAAAGGCAAGTATTGCAAGAAGCAGAGTAACCATCATACTTTGAAACTATGATATTGATGCAAACAATGTTTGCTTTGTCCGAAAATGATTTTGGAACCATCAGTCTGAGCTGATTGTCATGGCTGCAAACCTGTGCATCCAGAATATTTCTGGAAAGCATTTCTCGGGACAATGTGCCAATAGCAGATGTGGACCAAGTAGAATTGACAGTTGGGAAGAAGAGGCGACTAGAAGAGAGTGAAGGTGCTGCAGTGGACCCGGAGGTGACAGCCAGTGGAAAGAGAAAGAGGGAGGTGTCACAGTTTGCGATGAATGGTGATCGGTACAACTTCAAGGACTCCACAATGTAATTCATCTAAAACACTTATATTATGTCTTATTGCACTTTACCGATTGCAGTGCAAGTATGCTGGCCAATTCGTCAAGTAGGAAAAGGGGTATGGAGACACGTTTTGATCCACATAATTGAAACTCGAAGAATATATTCCCATTATAAGAAGAAGGAAGCTCCTCACCTCTCATGTACTCAAAATTGAATATATAAGAAGAAGGAAGCTTCTCACCTCTCATGTACTAAAAATCCTTCAATTCTAGCCATAATGATCGAGATTGCCGAAATGCTTTATCCACCACTTCAAAAACTAATCCAGAAGGAACACACCTACTTGTCTAGGAAGCTATATTAGGAAGTTCATCTTCTTCACTTTCGTCACTGGAGAGAATAACAACTTCATTTTTCACTCTTTGCAAAGTTGGCTGTGAAACTGATGCACTCTCCTCGTCTTGCTTCGAAGATCCTGTAACTAGAATCTTCTGACCTATACATCTATCAAGATCCCATTGAATCCCATTTTCTCCCACACCACTGTCAAGAAGAATGGATTTTTCTATCTGATTACCCTTATCACGACATACATTCTCTAAACTAACTAATCCCGGCTTCAGCTTGAACCTTCTGCAGAGGAAGCTTTCTCTTATAACACTCTTGGAGAAAACAATTGAAGGCTCTTGATCGAACTTCAAGTAGATTTCTCTCATATCTTCTTCTTGCTCGAGCACTTAGAAAACTTTTGGGGAGAAACTGACAAGAAAGAACAAAGATATTCTTCTATATTATGAGTTTTAATTAGCTGTGTCCTTACAAAGGACAAGTTAATTATTTTAACAAAATATACAATCGTTTAAAATCTAGAGAGATATAAGAATCTTAAAGAGCCACCCATATTAATTGTATAATTGATTGTGAGAGGAATAATATTGTTGAAATAAATGTGGTTATGAGCGAGAAGTGCCAATCAATCACAAAAGTTGTAGCATTGATTACTTGTTTTCCCTCTCATCTCCATACTCTCTTCCCTTCAAGAGAGTTTCATTCTTTTGTGACAGTGAGAGAGAGTCAAGCTCGGAAAGGTTGGTTTGTGCATGGTAACCACATTTATAACCACATTCATTTCAACAATATTATTCCTCTCACAATCAATTATACATATCTTAATATCTAAAGCATTGAATGATTGTGCCCATTGATCGCCATCAAAGAGAATAAAACTCATAACCACGACTGTCAATCGCTTCCGTTGATTTTTAGGGTTTTATGCCTAGGGTTTGAGCAGCAAAGGGTGAGAGAAAAGTGCGTTTGAGCAAGGAAGGTTTAGGGTTTAGAGAAAGGAGTTTCAACCTAGCAATATGCTTCATGACGCTTCTCAAACAAGGTATGCTTCCATGAGAAGGTCAATTCATGCGTGAACCAACATCTCCTCACCTTCTTTCCTCCATGAGAAGTTTTATCTTTTCTCGACTTTTGTTTTCTCCTGAGGGATAGAGATGTTGGTTCTTGTGCGAACCGACATCTCCTAGCATTCTATTTCATTTTCTGTTTAGTATTTTGCCCATCTCTGCCTCATTTTTTTGATTTTTTTTCCTTGTTGAAGGGGTGAGAAAGATTGGTTCGCTAAACATATATGTACATTACCCCAATCCCAAAGGGATCAAAACAACATTGAGAGCGCACTCTCGAAGAGACTAGTGAAACTATGAGCGCGAACACCCGGCGCTGCTCTTGGGCCGTCCGCCTCCCAGGTGACTCCACCGCGGAGCTTGAAGCCACCTGCTTCGCCTTGCCACTCCTCCACTCGGTCACAATGATGACAAGCCAGACGAACACCATGTCGATCTAGCTCAACGTCGTCGCAGCCAAGCGGTCCAACTCGAGCACGATGACCCGGCGTTGCTCATGGGTCACTCGCCTCCAAGGTGACTCCACTGCACAAGCTGAAGCCACCTGTTACGCCCCAAGACGTGATGCTGTGTCTTGGAGCGCCTACCTCCCCAGTGTACTTCCAGCACTAAGTCGGTGCCCATTACGAACAAACTCCAAGGCGTAGAACAAGCGAGGTGTAGAAAGATTGGTTCGCATGCAAACCGACGTCTCCCCACCTCCATTTTTTCTAGACGCGAGATTTCTTGGTTTTTTTCATGTTTTTAGTGGTGAGATCTCTATATTTTAGAAAACAGAGAGAGATAGAAATATCAATTCTTGTGCAAACCAACATCTTCAAGGTTTTTTCTTGATTTTAATGACTTGATGGGGCATTTCATGTGAAAACAAGTGTCTCAAATGTGACTTCGGGTATCGAAAGATACTTGTTGACCAGTCCTTACGGACACTCTTTCCTTACTGCCATGACAGTAGGAGATCAGTACAGTTGGATCCCTTTAATAGCCCCTCTTGTGCTAATGGAGTTAACTGGGGATTTCTAGTGTACTTAGACCGGATGAGCATAAGGACGGAATTCCTACGTGCTATTAGCTAAGCATACTTAGCCCGGTAAGGAGTTCCCGTCTCGTTTTGTCTTGCACTAGCTAGTGACAAGAACCCTCACGTATTGAGACTAGTCCCTCAATATCGCCGGATGATAGCTTACTGTGTTTGCCAAACACCCTCATTATCATGCCCTTTGTGTTAGTCTCATTTTGGTCCTAAATGCTAATAATGGAAAGTGTCTAGATTTGCTCATTTGGCATATCTACGGAATGTAGAGGTCGGCTTGAACATAATGGTGTTCATCCCGTGTCCAAATTCACAATCTAGCGCCATTCTATATTTAGTAAGTTTCGAGCTTGTCCCAAAAACTGACTCCTGGTACTAAGGGAGGCTTGGGGTGAAAGCCCAAAGCGTGTGTTCCTCAGGGGGGGGGGGGGGGGGGAGGGTTCCAAATATATAGTAGGGATAGTGGTTGGAATGCATGTCCGACCACCTGAGACACTAGTTTGGCTCTCGCTGGGCTGTGTCACTCCTTGTTCTGCGTCTGGCTTGGGTCTAAGCCCAAGCTCCACGCTACTTTAGTCGGTGGGGTACCCTCCTCTTCGCGTTAGGCCACCGGTATGCCAAAATTGTGCCAGACTCCATCTAACACCATTTTGCGTGCAGGTGCTGGATACGGGGAGCTGGTGCTTGTGGGATTGTACCGGACCCTCGTTTTGTAGCACAACGGGCTTGGAGTTTGGTTCCAAATTCAGGTGCGCTACAACAAGAGGGTGAAAGATGTCAGTTCTTGCGCAAACTGACCTCTCTCATATTTCTTGTTGTGTTTTTCTTTTTTCTCAAGAGGTAGGGTGAGGTTGGTTCTCAAGCAAACCAACCTCTCACAGTGACTTATGTTTTTTCCTAAGCATTTCTTGTAGTTTACAATCTATTTTTCAAATCTTTTACTTACAATCTTTTCTTGTGAGAGCAGATATAAATCAAGTTTGACTACCTAGAACTTCCAACAAGGGACTTGAACTTAAAATGCCATAGGTTTGCTTTACATTATAAGTTAGATGTTATAGTATTTTTGCTTTTTATTTTAGATGAAGCGCCGAGGCCAACCTCAATGGTCTCGGTCTCCAAGAAAAGGCAGTTGCCTTGATCGCTGTAGACTTGGTCGATTGAGTGAAGATTCATCTCAAGTATCCAATGAAGTTTCTGCTAGTCATGCTAGAGGCAACGATGAGCATAACAATGATGTGGATATTAAGATGGACACTGAAATTGATGTTGGTGTTATTGAGGCTGTTGGTACTAGTGCTCCTGGGGCTGCGGCTATTGGTGGTGGGGTACTTGTGTCTGATGTTGGTGGTGGTGGGGGTGTTGTGCCTTTGGTTGCTGAGGCTGCTCGTGGCAAGGTAGATGAACTAACTAAGAAGGTTATTGGTAGCATTGTAGGTGGAATTGACTTACATAATGTTTCTTGCAGCCCATAATCAAAGGAGAAAGAGCCTCATTCTTTAAAAATGTCCGAGGGGACGAGCAGTAGAAGGAGATGGAGTGGCATGTGATTGAGCAATGAATTTTGAATACGAAGAGAACAAAGGTGAAAAAGTTGCTCTCGATTGTAGACATACGATGTGGGCAAGAATGGCTTGATAGCATTGCCGAGATTTGTTCTCGCGTTCGTAAGTTCTTCTAAAATTTGTGAAACATTTTAAAACTTTTGTGTGTGTAGGAACTGGTAAAGCACCGAAGGAAATCATTTACAACATCTCCAAGAGTAAAATATCCTTTTCTGAACAAAGCGTCTGCTTGGAACTTCTCAACACTTAGCTGCGAAACAACGAAAAACGTTGCGAGATAAGGATGGAGAAGGTGATGATGGAAAAAGCGTACATTTCTCAGAGTATTGCCACTGGTGAGGAGATGCTACAAGTCTGGGACAAGAAATTTCTTTCCAGCACTTGCATAGGTATCACTCTCGAAGAATATATTCGTGCTTGTCTTGCGGAGCTAGGGAATGGTTGGCTTCCACGTGGTAGGACGAGTTTGGCTAAGTTCAAGAACCAAGCAGGACAACCATTTCTTGCGAGGCATATGGTTTACAGGTATTTTCTCAATTCTTGTTTATACATTGGTATTTATATTTATATTTTACTTTATAGATATTTAAAATATTGCCCCGGTGCACCAGTATACACAGCCAATGTTTTGCAGAAGCTCCTGACTAGAGGCAAGAAGCTTGGGATGGATGAGCTAGAGTTCTATTGTCCTTGTACACATGAAAGGGAGCTATGCCCGTGGTACCTTGAACTCATGGAGCAGATGCCGATATCGAACTTCGAGTTGGATCTCTACCTTGAATGTCATCCAAATTCACTTGAAACTCAACACTTAGCTAGGAAATATTAACCTTGAGTTATATTCTTATTTTCCAGAGGCTCTTTCTGACTGTGATAACAACATTGTTGAAGTTCAACAACTAAACCTAGGAGTCCACACTCAGGAAACCATTCAGAAGATGCCAAATCCAAATATTGTTGAACCAGAGGAAACTGTATAAGAGATTCCAGTACCTGCTCCTCGCAACCCCCGAAGAGGCCATTGTGAAGCCTTTCATAAGAATAAGGACTTTTATTTGAAACGTTCTTTTATTCATTCTTGACTTCACTTTTTTTTTTTATAGATGTTGCAAAGAGCAGCCATCAGTCTTCTTGGCGGACTAAGACATTATTCCCATCCCTCCCTATGGCTACAAACAACGACCTGGAAGAGCTCTCCTTTGCAGCTATGCACAAACATGTTAGTAAGCATGAATTTTATCTCCAACTTTTAATTCTAATAATTGTTTTTCAGGTTCGCCCTCTATCCCCAATAGCTAGTGTTGGGGAAGTTACTGCTCTCATTGGGGATTACATGCAGCTTTTAGATGCTATTAATTGGGAGCTCTACATGCTTGATTGGTGGATCCATGGTCTAGGTTAGCTCACACCTTATGGGAAGATTGATTTCATCTTTTTTAATCTTCTCAATGGGATGCCACCACCATAGGGGAATACTCTATCATGGAATGTGTTGTAGGCCTAACACATTTCCCAAGCCTTAAAGGTTGCAAGCAACTTCATAACATACAAGGGTGTGGTTGTCATGATCCTTCCCTGCTCTCTAAGGCCTTCTCGCACACTTGGCTGATAACGATGATGGATTTGTTGAGTTTTCATTTGGCTGCCTTCTTTCGAGTATGGCGGTGAACACAAAAAGCACTAGTGGGCAGAAGCAAAAGGTCTGTGACTTCTTTATTTACAAATTAACTCTATTCAAAAAAAATTTTTCCAAGTTTATTCCTGGAACTACCATGCTCTATGCCACATTGGGAACCGGCGTAATGCCACATGAGCTGAGGAGCGTGCTGCTCTTGCTTTACCAGGATATGACAACTCTACAGACATCATCCCAAATGTGATTGACACGAATGTTCTTCATCTAGCATTCCCTGGTTATCGACATCATTCGGTCACGGCCATGTAGATCTTGTTGGAGTTATTTTGTCCGCTAAAGGGGATTGTGCTTGATGCTACAGTAGGATTTGGGTCAATGGTGCAAGCAGTGAAAGAGACAAGTCAAGCTGTTTTTGCACTTGAGAAGGAGGATGCCTTTGAGGATATTCTTAGGAGATTTTAAGGATGACATGAAAAGAGTGTTTTTAAGTTTTAGTTATGAATTAAATGATATTTCTCAGGAGGGAGAATTGAGTTTTATAGCCATATTGTTATATGGTTTGAGTCATTTACTCTATTCTCATTCTTTTGTTTCCATAATTATATTATCATGTGAAAATGCCTATTTCTTTCTTTTTTTCATAGCCATTTATCACAATATCGGTGTTGCCATTTGTACATATTTTCTCCATGGCCATATTGCTTTGGATTCCCTTCATATAAGGTTTATTTAGCTTCTAAAGGCTACTATATGTGGCTTTTTCATAAGGGATAGAAGAATGACACAAAAAACAATAATATTGGCCTAGGGGATTTAAGGCTAGAACACCTTAAGAGTTGGGAGGTTGGAGCTTGTAAAGAATTTATTTGGTTTGCAGCAACCCTATAGTCATTTTGAGGAAATATCCTTTACGGACTAATACAAAAAACCAGATGTACTGCCCTCCGGAGAGAACTACCTAGTGAAGCAAAAGTGGGCCTGCAATGAGAATGGCTGTAGTACTGTGTCCAGGACGACATCCCCTCTATGCAGACCTGTGAACACTCTGGATGTTTTGACCTGGCAAAGTCTGAGCCAAAACCAAAGGTAGGAGGTCCTATATCTCATAGATTCCTCCAATCAAGAACCTAGTGAGCTGCAAGTTAGTAAACAGATTGTTTAGGGATGCACTGTTTCCAGAGGTCAGCTGTGAGCTACAATCAAGCTCTATAAATCACTCTGAGTGCAACACTCATCTACACAATTAAACATTTTAAACATTCCTAAATGCTTCAAGAGGCATGAGACTACTGTTGTCATCCTCTTCCTTTTATAGCCGTCTCTCAACATATCTCATTTGTCTCTTATTGAGGATTCTTCCCGCCTGGATCAAGGGAACATGTGTGCATCTC